CAGTTCATACTAAACAATGACATTTCCAAATATATCCACATATATATTTTCATATTAATTTCTGTGAAAATAAATAGCTTGGACATTTCTGTCTTTCAAAATTTACTTTTTATACAAATAAGATTGCTTTAAACTATTTTCCACTAACCATAACAGTTAACATTAAATACAACACATTTTTCTGGGGATGTGCTGTACTTCAACTTTGTTGCACGGGGTCATATATTCTTACACGGACGAGTCGCTTAATGTAAAATTTTTACATACCATTTTTTTTAAGAATCCATAACTTCATTAAGTAAAAAAGTACAACAAAAGTAAATATAAACCTTTTTGTTTATGTCTATTAAAAGAAAAAATATACCTGTGAGGTTTTTCAATATTTTCTGTGCTGTCAAAAAAGTGTAGATTTCCTCAATTTTCTCCGTCAAGATGGCAACATCAACTATACAGATTGCGCTTGCGCGCGTCGACTGCCAAATAAGGAGGATGAACATTAAAAATTGATAGAAAGTAAGAGAAATAGAAAAAAAAAACAATGTTGAGATGTTAAAACACAAAAGAAAATAATGCATACTTGTGTGAGCAGATTTCAATCAATTCATTAATGTGTAAAAAATCAATTAATAAAAAAGCGAAATTTCACGAAAACGCCACAGTATTCTTCGTAGTCTCTCGGACATCTTATGTAATATTCGAGTATCTCACAAATTGAAAGTAGATAATACGCATGCGTGCTGTAAACACATGTCAGTATTTCCGGTTCATTGACAGTTGTAATGATGATCAGTAAGAGATGTAATTTACCGTATTTTATGAGGTAGCATTGAATATTTCGAAAGTGAAAAACTTGCTACAATTTAAATGAATGCTGTCTCATAGTAACTTTTTTTCCGGATGGGAATCTGTGTTAAAATCATTGAATGAAGCGTTGGTCACACCTTTGATTTTCCTCTTTCCTCACTGACCAGCTCTGATCAATCATCATGGCATCGCTCGTAACAGTGGACAATAACTCACACAGTGATTTGGTTGATGAGACCAACATAGGTGGAGCTAAAGTGTACCACTGTAATAGTGGCGATTTGATGGGAGGTCTGGGACTAGTGGTTCAAGCTGTTCTGGCATTCCTAGCATTTACATCACTTATAGGTTTGTAAAATGAACCTCTGCCAAAAGAAACTGTTAAACTGATTCTCTATGTTTCATATACATTTTTTTTTATTTTCAATAGCGATATATTCTCTAAAGTTTGCTTCACATGGGATAATCTCGTATGAAATTGTGATGGAAATATGGACTTAATTTAAGCCTCCACCAAACTTGGGACTGTGCTTCTTTATTCATGTGGAAATTCATGATATTCATCCTTTTGTTATATTCCACGGAATATAATATAGCACTACTCAGTGTTTCTATAAATAGCTTCACAAAAGATAGGTAGCAAAACATGACATATCATAACATTAGAAGCATGGTTTTACAATTATGACCATGATGACATTATATTGACTTGCTTATAGAAGCTAAAATTGATCGAAGTAGGAATGTGAATTTCTAGTCATGAATTATGAAACACTGTCCCTAGATTAGGTGAAAATGTCAGTCCAAATATCCAGCCATACATCTGTCAAGAATACACGGGACACTTATTTTACAGAAATTTCACTCTTATCTCCATCCTCTGTTTGAAAATTTTAAAAACAGGTTTTACACTGTTATAAATTGCAACTTATGGAGTAGAGAATTTTCTTCCTTAAGAATTTTGACACTCCAACTGTTAGGGCAAGGGCATGCAGTTATAAATTTGTTACTGGACCCAATACATTTGGAAGTTTAAAGGTTGGACACACTTATCTACACCATGATGTCAATCATTTGTATGCTAGTTGCATTTCCATATAGAAGTAAAAAAAAATGCCATTTTTTAATGATGAGCATTTAATCTATTTTTAGGTCACCTGAGTCACTCAGGTGACCTATTGCTATCTGTTTTCGTCCGTCGTCGTCCGTCGTGCGTCGTGTGTTAACATTTGAACATTTTCAGCTTCTTCTCTGAAACTGCTGAACCAATTTCAGCCAATTTTTGCATATGGCATCTATGTGTGAAGGGGAACAAAATTTGTGAATTTCATGGTCCCTGCCCCCCTGGGGCCTGAGGGGTGGGGCTAAAACCATCAAAATTAATGCAATCTTTAAAAATCTTCTTCTTAACTCCTGGACATCAAGCAGTCAAACTGTTGACATGATTGTAATAAGCATTGAGCCCTCTACCAAAATTGTGAAATTCATGGCCCCAGGGTCAGGGGTTCTAGTGCTAGGGCGGGGCTATATAGATCATATAGTGAAAGTGCATTATTTCTTTGAAAATCTTCTTCTCTACTCCTGAGTATTATTGAAACAAATTGAATACATAGTTATGATAAGCAAGGGTGACTCTACCAAAATTGTGAAATTCATGGCCCCAGGATCAGGGGTTCTGGTGCTAGGGTGGGGCTATATAGATCATATAGTGAAAGTGCATTATTTCTTTGAAAATCTTCTTCTCTACTCCTGGGTATTATTTAAACAAATTAAATACATAGTTATCATAAGCAAGAGTGACTCTACCAAAATTGTGAATTTCATGGCCCCAGGGTCAGGGGTTCTGATGTTAGGGCGGGGCTCTATTTATTATATAGTGAAAATGCATTAATGTTAAAAAATCTTCTTCTCTGCTTCTGGGTATTATTTAAACAAACTAAGTACATTGTTATGATAAGCAAGGACACCTCTTCCAAAATTGTGAAATTCATGGCCCCAGGGACAGGGGTTCTGGTGCTAGGGTGGGGCTATATAGCTCCTACAGTGAAGGTGAATTATTTCTTTGAAAATCTTCTTCTCTGCCCCTGAGTACTATTTAAACAAACTAAGTACATTGTTATGATACGCAAGGATGCCTCTTCTAAAATTGTGAATTTCATGGCCCCAGGGTCAAGGGTTCTGGTCAAAAGGTGGGGGGGGGGGGGGGGGGGCTCCATTGATTATATAGTGAAAAAGCAAAATTTCTTTGAAAATATTCTTTTCTGCTTCTGGTAAAAAAGCAAAGAAGCTAAGTATATAGTTATGATGAGCAAGAGTGCTTCTTCCAGAGTAGTGAATTGCATGACCCCTGGGTCAGATGTGCTGGTATAAGGGTGGGGCTGTTGATAATGTAGTGAAAATGCATTAATTCTATCAAATAATCCTGTCTGCTCCTTAATGTTAAGCAGTTAAACAAAGTGATTACTTATGATGAGCAAACTTGAAACTTCTGGTTCCAGGGTGAGAGGCTCTGGTGTTTCTCGGTGGTGAAGGGGGGGGGGGGGGGGGGGGCTCTGTTGATAATATAGTGAATCTGTAGTGAAAATGCATTATTTCTTTAAAAATCTTCTCAGCACTTGGGCATATCAGAGGCAAAAAGTGTAAAAGTTGAAATAAGGAAGGGTATTTTTACCAGATTTTTGAACATCTGGACCATTTGGTCAAGTGTTCTGGTCCTAGCCAGGGCTCAATTAATTTGCATTCTACTGAGAGGAGTTATTCCCCTTTGCCGTTTACTTTTGATAATTAATCACTGTAAATAATGTACTTGAAAAATTAATAGAATAAGAGAATTATGCAAGAATTTTTATTGTATAATACAAAAAGTATTTTCATAGTTTTAATGATCATGTGGACTTGTAAGTAATAGATAAATAAAAATGAGACAAAAATAACTTGTCTTATTAAATGTTCATCAAAGACCAAGAGAGGCCAATGTAAGAGATTACAACAAGGAATTAAAATAGTACAAAAGCACTGATAGTTTGTTAATATACTGTATGGTGATAGTGATAAATGGGGAACAGATTAGAACCTAATTTATGAACTGTTAATGAGTAGTAGACCAATTATTTTGTTGATCCTGATCACCCTATTTTTCTTGCTTTTGGGCAACAAAGCTTCACCTTTCATTTCATTTTAATACTCTATGGATCCTCTAAATTGTTGTATTGTACTCAGGTGACCGTTAAGGCCCTTGGGCCTCTTGTTTATATTCAATTTCTATCAGAGCAATCAGGGATGCAGGGATCCCAGTTTCGATTCCCTGCCCTTCCTCTTAATCATGTTAATTCTTCCTCTAAATGCTTTGAAGTGTCTTTTAAAGTGTGCATTTGTCATTTCAGTGAAAAGATACTGTGAGCCAATTTATGAAAGACGGCCTTGGAAAATATGGTAAAAAATTAGCAATGATCATATATCATTTTGTTTCTCTGTCAAGTAATATTTCAATACAGGTACCGTTAATTGATTAAATCAATTCAAGACTCTTATGTTTTTGATACTGTTCCGATGTTCATGACCAATTTTATATTCATTATAGGTTCTTTGACACATCCAAGCAAGGCTTTGGGGCCGCTGTCATCCATTTTGCAAATGTATTCTTAGCAGATATGTTTCAGGGAGATCCATGCACCTGGTACACTCTTCATATATATATATATAATGCTTTGTTCTTATTTAGAATACTTTATGTTACTGCTACGCATGTTGTTTTAAAGTGCCACACATATGATGAAAAATGTAATTCTGATATTTGTATTGAGTGATTTGCTACATGTAATTTTTCTCATTATTTTATGAACTCATTTAAAACAATATTATATAGATATAGAAATTATAACATAGTAAATTCAAATGTAAGGCTGATGCTATATAAAGGACAAGTGTTTGCTATATTACAGAAAATAATCTCATCTACACATGTGAGTTATGGCTAGGGATAGGCGTTTCTATGCAAATGAGCTAATAAAAACGCATAAGAGGTATATTTATTATTCAGAGAAAGTTTTGATTTATTTTCTTATGCATACTTAGTACCCTTGATATGTTATAGCCAGCACACATTATGACTCATATTATGACGTCACTGATCTTACCTACTGGAGATAATATAACACATCAGCAAAACAGCTTCAGCGCAAGGGATTACCCTATTCATTTTTACATAAAAATTGTGTAATGCTAAGAAGAATATTCTATAGAATAATAAAACTGCTGCACAATCCTAGGCATTTTCTCATTTGATCGGAATTTGAGGAAACTTAATATACCGGACTGTTTTACCCTTATTCAACTTAAAACTTTACAAACAGAAATTATACAACTGAGCTGTTGATATTTGTGCAGCAATACCAGCAAACTTTGGAATATTTTGTTTCTAAATATACCTTGTTTCAGTGAAATAAAATAGAGCGTGCCCTTGCGCTGAAGCATTTTTGTTGATGTCCATTATAATTTTGTGTAGTAAAGAACAATGATGTCATAATATGACGTCATAATGTGTACTGGCTATCTCATGTCGTGGGTACCAAGTATGTATTTGACAATAAGTTTTAACTTTCTCTGTATTATAGATATAGTCCTTAGGTATTTTAATTAGTTTATTTGCATAGAAATGCCTATACCTAGCCTTAACTCACCTGCGTATTGAAAATGTTGCCCTCTTTAAATTACATATAAGCAGACTTTTTAGTGAGGATTCAATTTTGGCATTATTAGCGAGGGTTTTGAGCTTGCTAAAATTAAATATTGCTAATAATTTGATCCGTATAGGTTATTATAGCTATCTTTCTTTTTAATGTAAAATCGCTAAAATTACTTCTTGCTAAAAATACATGTATATACCAATTTTTTGGGATAAATCACTAGATTTGCATCTCACTAAAAATTCTACTTAATACCAGTGTATACGGTTTATATTTGTTGAGCACAGTCATGTAAATATTTTTATTGTTGAGATAGATTTAGATGATACACCCTGTGTCCATTTCTTTAGGTATTTTGTGAGCTTCATACTGGATTCTACAATTGGCTTGTTTGTGATTTACATTGGTCTCAAGCTTACTCAAGTTATTGTACGAAAGCTCAAGTGGGATTCACTTAAGTTTGGAGAATATGGTAAGTGTTTATAAATATCGTACACAAAGGTAAAACCAACAAACTTTTAATTATAATAATAAAAAAAATACATGTGTTTATAATGGAAATCATGTAGACAAATAGTTGATTTTTAATTGAGAATGTGGAACACATTTGATGCTGGCAAAAGAGTGTGATGAATTATTCATTCTTAGTGCCTGACATATAGTGTACGTGATTAGATAAATATAAGCACAGACCGTATATTTCCGCTGTAGGGAATCCCCCCGCATGCAGCACCTGGGTAGGACAGTGTGCCCTGTATATCCTCGTGATGATCCTAGAGAAAATCCTAATGACACTTCTGATTCAGTTTGACTTCTGGAAGAAGGTAACTTCACAAAATTTGATACTGTAGTAAGTTCATCAAACTGTGCTGACTGTGCCTGTTCAAAATAAAGCTGTGTTGTAAAAGATGTAGAGGACTATGAAAATGAAGGAAAGTTGCTGATTTACGGGGAAAAAAATTACAGACTTTTTTATTTAAAACAAATCAAATTATAGAAAATTTAGGAAGTGATGGGACTCAACTGAGTGACTGAAGTTAAAGATTTTTTTTATGTCTGTCTGCGTTGTCTAGCTGTTTGTATGTGTCCATTTATAAAAAGTCATGCTTAGTTATAGTTATTGGAGATGAGTATAGCTATATGTACTATAAATAACCGTTTAATTATATAAGAGTGTTGCTTTATTATCAATAGGTGAGGAAATTTTTAATGTCACCCATTAAGGACCCCAAAGTGGAGCTGGTGATTGTGATGTTCATAGTCCCACTAGTGGTTAATGTAAGTAAAAATGAATAACAATATAAACACAGTGCAAAACTTCCTTCAATACCAGCTGGTGTTGTATTCTCATAGGAGAACAATATTGATAAACTTGATAATGTTGTGGTAGTAAGGCAGGTTCAATAGCCGATGGCCAGATAGCTCGGTTGGTACATGTAGAGCACCTGACCGGAGATTCTGGTGCCGTGGGTTTGAATCCTGGTCTGGTCCATCACATTTCCTTTCCTGTTACAATATTTACATTATAGCAATGTATTGCCTTGAAGATTCCTTTGTGACAAATTCTCCTAAAATGATGAACTACCACAGACACAACTATACAACTTTTCTTTCAGCAGCACACAATTAAGTGAAAAATGATTCTTCCAAAGTTTATTAATTTTTGTGTATTTTAATGTTAAAGTTGGTAATTTAAATACAAATAATGACTTTCATGTTTTGAAGATTATGAAGCTTTTCACACTGTGAAAGTGAAAGATGTTTATTTTAAGTGGAATTACCTTGTGAACATTACCAGAGCTTATTTTTCACCTGTATTTCAGGCTTTTATTTTTTGGGTGGTAGACAACTTCCTGAAAAGAAAAATTAAGGGCACCAAGACAATATATGTCAGTGATGTAGAGACAAGCGTAAAATACAATAGAAACAAAGACGAGGCTCGGTGCTACAACAGAATTGAAAAATGCGACGATTATTTTGAATCAGATTTAATGGCTTCTACAGATGATGAACCAGATCTACGATATCGAAATACGGATGGGACAGAAAAATTACTAGCATGATAAAAATAGATTTTTTCAACAAAATGAGGGCAAATAATCCCATGATTCATTGTTCTTCTGTTAAGTGAATGTAGTGAATTGTTATGTGATGTGGTTGATTTTTTAATAGTAACCTAAATATTTGTTCTTTTTACAAAGATATGAAATTTGAGGGTTTATTATTACATGTATTTAATGTAGAATGCCTATGCGCATTTGACCATTTGGGAAATTAGATCTCCAGTGTTTTAAAAGTTACAAAATTAACTCTTTCCATATCTGAATTACTACTAAATTTCTTTTTATCTACTTGTGGGTGTTTAATTTCATTTTTTTTCCCATAATTGCAAAGCAACCTCTAGGTTCTGTTAATTGACAACCCCCTTTGAATTTTGGGAATTCCATTCACCAGTCCCACAAAGAACCCAGCCAACTTTAAGTTACCTCAATAAACAGTTTATGGTCCCTTGTTTCATTCACCAATATTCTCCCTAAGAGGCTTCCCACTAAGCACTAGACAATTTTTTCTTGTATTTTATAGTGCTTCAATTTGCCAAAACAGTTCATATGATTTGATGGTGTCATATTTCATTTGCCGGTGTTGATTTTGTAGTGATTTTAAATTAGATGAATTTGCTGTACAGAAATGTTAAAGTGATTCATGGACAGATAGTATTGATATTTATTTAGTGCCATTCTTCCATGTCTCATTTTGGATATTTATTCTGTTTTTGGACTGTTTCATGTAGAATGGTGTTTATGCTTAAATGTATTTTTTTCCCCAGTCAAATTTCTTAGGGAAAAAAGTTTGGACTTTAAACAAAAACATTTCTCATGTTTTATCTATAAGCACAACTGTGTACCCTTCAAAAATATCAAGATAAAATACATGTCTTGAAATCCATGTTACAATTATTGTTTTAAATTTGTCTATTTGCACTGTAGTTTAAAACTGCATCATCTGTATAAAATGCTGAACATTGTTCTTACAGTGGATTCTGATTAACTTTCTAGGTCTTAGTTTTGGTGGTGTGTTAAATCTGTTGATGTACATGTACTTAGTGTGGTGTTATGAACATTATTGTGTGAACTGTATCTATTTTATTGTTGAATATGGAATAATCCTGTAATTATATATGTATGTATTTATTGACCATGATTCTCTACATGGAAATACACTGTACATTTACATGTGAGTGAAAACTATATCTATTTATTTATCAGCTGTCTTTATATCAACAAAGACTTTCAACAGAAAGCTACTTGACACTGTATATGTACATTATTTATTCTTTAAGTTGTCAACAAGACTACAATTCTGTCTTCACTGTGTGATTATGACAAACTCAATACATAAAGAATGTTCACTTATCTACTCAGTAATGATATTAAATTTACATATTTTTTATTAAGTTAATACACAACAGTATTTCACCAGTAATCACATATACACATATTGTTTGGACACAAAATATTTATCACATGTACTTTCTGACCTACTCCTTCAGATTGTATACAGTAAAACTAGGTTATAAAGAACCCACTTATAAGGAAATCTTAGTTAGAAGGATTTTTGTTTAATTCTGTAGGAGACTTAAATTTTACCATATTCTTTATACTGATTTAAAGAATTTCACTAACTAAAATATTCAAAGTCCCAGTGACTTCCTTGTCACCAAGTTTTACTGTATAATCATCAAATAAATATATTTAACACTGATTTAAAACCTGAAGAATATAAGAACACAACAAGTTATTCCAAGGCATGACCTGTATATCTTTGGTATATTTTGTATATTTCTTTTATAAATACATGTAGTGTACTTTAAGAGTTTCAGATTGTTGAATCCTGCATTTATTTCTTTAAAAATTGAGGATCACTTGCAGGAAAGCTAACTAAGGCAGAATAGTCCTTCAGTTAAATGTAATGAAATTTTTATGAAATTCTGACAATTTCTTAACAAGATGGATATACAGGTGAAATTGAAGAAAATTAAATGTACTATAAGCAACAAAATTTAAGACAAATTAAAAAATTTTATAAAAGAATACTCAAATTTAGAGTAATTTCTTTTGGCCAAGTATCAGACCCCCGTAACTTTATTTGATAGATTACTGTTATCTCCCTATTGAAGCTGATATAGAAGCTCTATGTGTAACTCAGTTCTGGGTAAAGACTCCCTACTTGAAGAATGCTGGTAATTTGGTTACAGAAAATGATACTTGTACATGTTCATGTTTTTTTTTTAAGTTGAAGATCAGTGAATCTGAGATGACAAAAGCATTATTTACATTTATTTCTCACAGATATGCTTGTAATTTTTATGTATCCTAAGTAGAAATTTTACTTCTTTCATTATTTATGAAAATATTTTTTTCATTTGAAGATATATAATCTAGTGAAGTTCCACACAATAAAGTTCTTGCAAATGAAATGTAATTTACCATACACCCTATTCAAAAGTTTATTTTGTATTCGGCTATTTCCTTTCTATTTCTGCCAAGAAAAAGACAAACAAGCAAACGATCTTAAGCTGAATTCTCAGTCTATGTTTATGTATAGTACCTGCCACTCAAATAGTGTTACTTCTGTTGGAAGCAATTCCATTTTAATATCAATTGCCTCAAGCAATTATCTCTATTTCAATTTCTTCTTTCTTAATGTGTTATTTTATTTTACTTTCTGCAATATTAACTCTTTGAATTCCATCCACGATAAATGATACTTGTGTATTCATTTTTGTATTTTTTTTTCATTTGAAATGGATACAATATTTATATATTACATTTATATATGTCAAAAACCTACATAAGTTTTATTGCATGTATTCTTATTTGTGATACATAAAAAACTTTTAACTTTAATTGTAACAAGGAGAATAGTATAATGTTATACTAATTCAGATTTGGAACATATTTATCACCTTAAAACATATCTAAGTAATACAGAGGGCATTTCCTAAATTTATGCTTCAGTCACTTTAATTAGCACAGAATTTTATTTGACATGTTATACTCTTAACATGTTTTGTTATTACATGTAATTAAGACTTAAATCATTATTTTAATTTTAAATGAGAAATCCACTCGTTTTACAATTCATTTAATAGTTATAAAATTATCAATATTTATTCTTAAAAATGCCCCCCTTTTCAATGTACCTGTATATCATTAATTTGTAGATAAGTACATTGACACTTTTCCCATTATACATGTATTTATATTTTTTAATTGAGATTTTTGACCTTTAAAATAAAAATAATTCTTAAAACTGTTGTATTAATAATCAGTCCTCGGCCTGAGTTTTGTTTTCTGCACTCATTTTAATTTTTACATATGCATGTACAAATACATTGTATAAGTAATGTAGATACTTGTACTGTATTAAATAGCATAAATCATTCAGACAGGTTATGTAGTTCAGTGTTAAAAGTGACTGTGCATAAGCCTTTTTTTTTTTAAATATAACCTAGCTGAAGCTTGTTCAATCAAAGTTATCAATTACCTGAATATGCTGTGCGTGTTTACATGACTTTAAAAAGAATAAATTGTTTTAAGTTATGAAGTTTGATGTCCATTTTTTTTACATGCCTATAATGTAGCAAATTGCTATAGCTATATTGTTCAAACAAGAACTCAGAGATTTTCATTTTTTTGTGATTGTCTGCTTAAAACATATTCTTATTCTACACAAAAGTACTCTGAAGTTGATACTAAAGAGATTCTGTAGTTCCTCTTTATCACTGTTTATGTAGTCTGAGACCAGGCTTTCCAACAATCTATTGGAATTTCAATGGGCTCTAACTGTGCTCCTTTGTTAAAGCTGAACACAACTCATAAAAGGAATTTATCTAAAATATTCCATTATTCACTCGGTTGCTAATAAATCTTTTTCTCCAGAACCACTGGGCAGATTATCACCAAGATTACACATAAGGATGAGGATTTGTTTTAGATCAAAACTTGTTCAAGGCATCACCCTGGGGCAAAGGGCATTCTGAAGGTCACTTCAAAGTTGACCCAAAATTATGTTTTGTTAAAACGTTGATATTTTGCTTTTTTGCTTACTATAAGGACTAAGATCATAGAATCTTGTCAGTTGATGCATCTTAGGACCTTGTATCATGTTGACTTAAAAGTAAGTCATGGTGACCTACTTTTTGAATTTTGCAGGCATTTAATGTTTTCAAATTGATTTAGAGGCATATTTTGGACATTAAGGGCCTATGATCATCAAACTTTGTCAGTTAATGCATCTTACTCTTAGGTCCTTGGAGTATGACAACTGAAAAATAGGTCACTGTGACCTACTTTTTTAATTTATGGCTACCGGTATTCATTTTCAAAACATTTAAGATCATTATTTCAGATACTGAGAGGTTTAAAATCATCAAACCATGTAAGTTGATGCATCTTGGGGCCTTAAAACACATTTATCAAAAAGGAGGTCAGAGTGACCTACTTTTTAAATTTTGCAGGCATTCAGTTTCAAATATTTAAGAAGCATTTTTTGGACACTTTAAGACCTAAGATCGTCAAACTTTGTCAGTTGCATCATGGGTCCTCAGAGAATGTCAACTGAAAAGTAGGTCACTGTGACCTATTTTGAAATTTTATGGCTATCTTTAAATATATCAGGAACTAATTGGCTTAGAATCATCAAACTTTGTCAGTTCATGCATCTTGAGACTTCAAAGTAGGTCAATTGAAAAGTAGGTCACCGTGAACGGTAACGAACTGATCAGTCTAAAAAGAAGAAATAATACAAACGATACAAATCTGTGAACAATGTTAAAAACGCCGTCTCTAGAAATTCCAGATATGGTATCAGGTGCCTAGGAGGAGTAAGCATCCCCTGTCGACCGGTCACACCCGCCGTGAGCCCCATGTATTGGTCAGGAAGACGGAATATTCCATAGTCAAATTAAGTATAAAAATAAAAGCCTAGCAGTTGTTTTGAAATATGTCATTCAAATGATGGGTTATATTTGGGAACAAGGTTGGTATAACGACCAAAGAAATTACAAAATACTGACTTTAAACGAGGTTGTTGAAACCCCTGTAATATCAACCTACCTGTCATTAGCCTGCCTAGAATATAAAAATTGAGCATGCTTTTGAGTATCGAATATAAGTTGGGAGAAATAAACACTATATGTAGATGATAACGGAGTATTAGTATCGGAGATACAGGGCGGGGCTTAAGGCGAGAGCGATAGCTCGAGCCGGGCCCCGCCCTGTATCTCCGATACAGTAGGAAACGAGTATTCTAAATGACTTGTGACATGACCTTTCTTATGACCTCGCTAATTTACATGTGTATTTGGGTATATATCTCTCAACTAATCAGATGATTTTGCAGAAAGTCGATTTAGTACCCAATTTTTAGCAATCGCAACTGAAATGGATGTGCAGGTATCTATCAATTTATATAATTATAATTAGGAGATGCATTATATAATGTGTTTTCCCAAAAATTTAATTTATATTTGATTGCGTAGGTTTTTTCCTTTCTAATTCGCTCTTGCTCACTTTTTTTAAAATCTAAGCTACGAATTTAGTGCAAAACATTTTGGTACATAAGAATCATAAATGGGAATGTATTTGAAGCAAAAATGTTTCGGGGAGGTTGTATTCTGAGAGAAATGTCCGACAATGTCACCGACCGGTCGTCATACATGTGTATACAAAATTCTTGGCTCCAAATTGAAATAAACAGATGTAAGAAAGGGGACATATTACCTTCATGTTTGAAACAAAATGTAGAGGAACCAAAGGCAGATCCAGCACTCACTCGCGCGCGTCGGTATCCCCCCCCCCCCCCCTTTTCGAGATTTTTTTTTTCTTTTTTGGTTTTCGTAAATTATGTTTGCTAAATTAAACTTGTATATTACACTTTTA